TCCGCGACACCTTAAAGGCCGGTCCGTGAAAATATTGTCGGGCATAAACCGGTCCGTGGCGCAAAAAAGGTTGGAGACCGCTGATCTAGAGAGCTGTAAACATGTATGTGGTTTTTACAGTGAAAGAACCTTTTCCTTACTTGGCTCATATGTTTGTGTGTGATTTCAGTTCAATTGTGTTAGTACAGTGAAGGAAAAAATAACTGTAAATTCAGACAGATGAGATTGTGCTGAAAAGAACAAGGCAAGACAAAAATAAATCAATAAATTTAAAGGTGAAACACAACAATAAAATAAAAAATAGTCCGAAATGGCCAATTATACCCTGGACTGGACCCCAGAGTGTTAACCAAATAAAACATGAAAAATTTGTGAAAAAATGTGTTCATTTGTGGCATTTTGTGTAAATTTAAGCAATTTGATGGTTTCTAATTAAAAAAGATTGTGAAACTTTAGTTAGACTTGTGTTTGTAAATGAATCACCTCATGTTGTGTAGCTTTATTGATTTTATGCTTATTGGGCTACATACTTATTTATCATACAGGCTAGTACATAAAATCCAAATTCACATGTTTTATGTAACTGAAATGTTTAATTATGTGGGCTAAAGAAAAGAAAATTATAGACTACGTTTATATGAAATATCTGTATACTTACTGCTTTTGATGTATTTTAACTGTATATAAGACATATTACAGAATGTAACACATGCATATGTGTAAAAAATAAATTGCTTTGATTTTGCCACCCCATTTGATTTCCATGCCACCCAAAGAAAATTTGCCTAGATCTGCCCCTGCATCTGTTCACACCATGCACACTATATACTCTGACCATCAGCCACCAGCAGTTATAGGATCACTGTTTTAACCATTTTTGCTGTGGAAAAACATCAAATTTTAGATGTAAATATACATAAATAGCATAGATGTATTGTTTATTTTTAAGAAGCTCTTAAAATATTAGTATTATTTAATAACAGTATTTGGAAACAGCATCAAGCATCTGTTTGTCTGCCAGCAGTGCAGTTTTTTTTTCCGTGACCACTTTTAACTGGGGAGATAGGATCCATTTTTCCACCATCTTTGCTGGCTTTGTTGTTTGTGCAAAGGCTATGAGTGCATGTGACTGTCAAAGCATTGCCTCAACTGCACCTCCGGAGAATGTGAAAGACTGTACTCAGGCATTAAATCAATTAATTGGTTTTCCCAGTATGACTGTGAGAAGAAAGTGTTTACACAACAGGAGGGTGAATGCAGCTATTCTGTCAGCTCCTGAATACACAGAAGGAAGTACATACAGAAACATTTATTTGAACATCTGTTTGCGGAATAAGGGTTGTATAAAGTATTTTGTTTTTTTGCAGTTTGGCAGTAGCAGACATGCTGGTGAGTGTGTCCAACGCCTGGGAGACCATCATCATTTATCTTCTCAACAACAGACAGCTGGTGGTGGAGGATCACTTTATCAGGCAGATGGACAACATGGTGGACTCCATGATCTGCATCTCTGTCGTTGCATCCATGTGTAGCCTGCTGGCCATTGCTGTGGACAGGTAATGATGGAAGGGAGTATAAGCACAAATATATCTTTGTTTTCTTTTTTTGCTATTGTTTCTTAATAGTTTCCTTTTGAAATGTTTTTAAGGGAACTGAAGTTTTAATTGAAGGCTCTAGTCACAACTAATCCTCATCCATCAGCCCAACACCACTGCCCCCAGTTTCCTAATAATGTTCTTGAACATAACTGACGTTTTATAATTTATAACAACAAAAAAGGACCCTGTAATTTTATGATTAATTTTAAGGAAAATCGAGGCAGTGCTTATTTGGCACTCCTTCAGTTAATTCCTGTCATGTGTTCCCTCTGACAATTCCTTTTTTTCTCTCTTTAAACAGTTTTTATTCATTATCAAGAAAAGCATAAAACATAACAAAGCAAACAAAAAAGAAAGAAAGAAAAAAAAACCAAAGGGAGTATATTAAAGTCATTATATACCTGTACAAATACACATATGGGGTAAAGAGGAGAGACAATTCCAATGAATGAAAAATACTGCTCGCACTAAATCTTAGTTGTCACTGCTGAACAGATCAAAGTGTTTTTGTTGTCTCACTGTGTGAATGAATTTAATTTTAAGCAGATGAGTAAACCAGCCTTGATGCAGTTTAATTTTTTGTTTTAAATTGACATTTTATTTCTTAATTTCCACCTTCTTTCTCTGATACACACAACAAATTTGGTTCATTCATCATGGGGATCACTTCTGTCAGTGCGCCCCAGGGTGGCTGTGGCTACAATGTAGCTTGCCATCACCAGTGTGTGAATGTGTGTGTGAATGGGTGGATGACTGGATATGTAAAGCGCTATACAAATACAGGCCATTTACCATCGCTGCTTACTCTAATGCATCTGTGCAAATGTTAAGACAGACAGAAAATTTTAGTTTTTTTACTTTTTACTTTACAATAAATTATCTGGCAAGACAGAAAACTGAGAAAATGTCCATCTTTCCCTGATTTCCCTTTTCATCCTTTTCCTTTTTTGTATGCTTGTGAAGTAGATTTTAAATCCTTGAAATGTGCAGGTTTTTTTCATCTTCACCATTCGTGTCTTTTTATGGTCTTTTCACATTGACAAAAATGGATCTTTTAATTTCATCTGAGCTTGAGCTCACCTTGAAGCCTGAATATTTAACAGCAAAGCTGTATTATTAAGAGTTGAATATTTCATAGGCACCGATGGCACACTGGTAATTTCTTGATCTTGTGCTTTCATTTTGACCTTTCTATTTCAAAAACGTCTGTCTCAAATCTCCTAATTCGGTGGGTTAACCTACCATGCAAGTCTTTGGACTGCGGGTGGAAGCCAAAGAACCCATGCAGGTTTACGGAGCACCAGGATGCCGCTCAAAAATTTTCTCTGACACAGTAATTTTATAACTTCTTAGTTCTAGAACCTAACAAATGACAATAATTGGAAGAATTGCAATAAGGCCTTCAAACTATTCAGTGCCTGTTCTTTATTAGTTCGTCCTGATTGCACACAACCATTCACAGCTACATTTAGCATGTGATCACTATTTTAAAAGTGTGTCTTTGTTACCATTGATTACCATTTAATCAATTGTCTGCTTAATAATGAATGTAGAATAACTGGAAAAACTGTTCTTTTTTAAATGTTTGTCAGACATGTTGATATTTGATCCATATACATGTAACTGAGTTAAATCTTACTCTTTCTAACACATAGGCATTCCTTTTGTTCCCTTTTCCATGCTTGCTATTCCTTCATGTACTGGAGCACGTATAAAACTGCAAACATTGCATAGATCATCATACTGGATGATACTGTACCATCCCCAGAAGCAGTTTGAAAGAGGTGGACTCGGGTCCATATTAGGCTGACTCTGATTCAGTATATGAATCAGGTATAAATACATGGTGTACAAGAATCAGGACAACTTGACAATATGATATTCATTTGGTTTCTCAGTGACATTTAATATTTACGAGATTGTCTCAAAGACATATAAATTACATTCATACCAGAGGTTACAACAGAGCCACCAAATAACAAAATTGCACCTTTTATGTATAAATGTACGTTATGCGTGATCAACAACCCAAGGCTGCCTAACGTTATCCTCATTAAATATTGAATGTCTCAAGAATAAATGTCTCACTTCATGTGACCTGTAGTCTGGTTCCCTCTCTGTGAGTTATTGTATTCAGCACACACACAGTCCCCGTTATGTTTAAATGTCAAGTTTTCTGACTTTTTGTAATTCATCAGTGAGCAATAAATGTTGATATAAAATTAGAGGTTACTGAGGTGGATACTATGTTATTATCCACAGGTACGTCACCATCTTCTATGCACTGAGGTACCACAACATCATGACGGTGAGGAGAGCTGGCTGTATCATCGGGGGAATCTGGACCTTCTGCACTGGCTGCGGGATTGTCTTCATTATCTACTCAGACTCCACTCCTGTGATCATCTGCCTGATCTCTATGTTTTTTGCCATGCTGCTCATCATGGCCTCCCTCTATAGTCACATGTTCATGCTCGCTCGCTCGCACGTGAAGCGCATTGCCGCCCTGCCCGGCTACAACTCCATCCATCAGCGCACCAGCATGAAGGGGGCTATCACACTGACCATCCTTCTGGGGATCTTTATCGTCTGCTGGGCTCCCTTCTTTCTCCACCTCATCCTGATGATCTCTTGCCCACGGAATCTCTACTGCGTGTGCTTCATGTCCCACTTCAACATGTACCTCATCCTCATCATGTGCAACTCAGTGATTGACCCGCTGATCTATGCCTTCAGGAGTCAGGAAATGAGGAAGACGTTTAAGGAGATCATCTGCTGTTACAGTGTGAGAAACGTCTGCACGAACATCTGTGCTTTGACTGGTAAGTACTGAGAAATAGAAAAGACCAGTGAAAGGATGACGCTGGAATAGAAATACTACTACCCGAGGACTGGTTCACTGCACTTTTCAGACAGTACAGTGTACCGTCAAACAAGCAACTATTGAAAACTATAAGCTGGAAAAGAGACTGGAACATTGAGTTATCTCCTAATGCGTCCACCATGTACACAAAAAGTTTACTAGATGCATTATTTTAAGGCTTAGTTAGGATCATATAAAGTCGAAGCCCATGATTCATAGTAATGTGCGTCACACAAAACTGTTTGTGGCCTGCTTTTCATTCTCCCTGACATTTCTTTTATCTTTTTTTCTTTGTCCTTTCTTTTTTAATAGGCAAGATTATTATTCTCTGTTCCCAGAATATGTCTGATGCAGTAGCCAAATGGATAGACAGGATATTTTTCTTTCAGTGCTGCAAGAGTGCTCATATACTGGCTTTAAATTACAGAATTACTGCCAAATGTACCCAAATGTTAATTTAGACGGCTGGATGTACCTCCGTGAACATTAACCTGACATGCATAAATTAACAAAGGCAATGAAGTCAGCAAAAGTTGGGGAAGGTGTGGTAAGAATTATCCACATCCATATGTCAGTGAGTTTTTTGGGGGGGGGGTTTGCTTTTCTTTCAAGCTGTGACTACAAATTAAAACAACAATTTTACACATCAAAGTCTGTTTCCCAGTCATGGAGAGTAGTGCTTCGGTTACTAAGTAGTATCTAGTTTTTTTTAAAGACCCTTAAGCTTTAAATTGTGACAATGTAACAGTCTACCTAGAACAGCATGTGCATATCAGGGCAGTGAATTATGTTTTAGTTCACTGTCAGTTATGAATTGAATATTTCCCAATATTAAATGCAGAGTCACACATAAAACAAGCGCAAGTGAAACAACACTTATATTTATTCAGATTTTGAATATTATAATCAAAAATCTTTTCCACATCTTTCACAGAGTCCTCTACCAAATCTGTTTGAGATGCTAAATAATTATTTTGAATTTCAGGAGGGTCAGAGAAAAAGAGTCGCACGTCCTCTGCATAGAAGACTCTCTGTCACTCACTGGGTGCTCCATCAGGGCCAGCAATGGTTGTCCAGTTAAATCTAAAAACAGACATCAATTAAAACATTACTAAAGTGAAAGTGATCTCTCAGACATCATTCATGTTGGCTGAACTAACCCTGTAAAATGCTCTTATTTGTAGCTGCAGTTGCCTATACTCTGTTTGTCTATTAGGTACTGGAATCTACAGTTTCACTTATTTTCTTTGGTGTGTACATGTCCTGGTAACAAAGACTGGACCTTGGCAAACTTAGAGCAAAAACAAAGACAATTTTAAGATGGCAAGTCTGGATAGTTTCACCACTTGCAAGAAATAAATGTTGAATATCTAATGGAGATTAATGATCCTCACAGGCAGCCACGCTACAAAGTTCCTATGATGCACAGAGCGCTTCTTGTGCACCACTACTGAATTTAATCATTAACCATTATTAAACTCTGGCTTTCTCTGCTATAGTTTTGCTTTTGTCCTGTCTCGCTCTGTTCTCTTCTCATTCTCCTCACCCCCAATCAATCATGGTAGATGAGCCTGGTTCTGCTGGAGGGTTCTTCCTGTCAAATAGGAGTTTTTTCTTCCATTGTCATTAATTGCTTGCTCATAGAGGGCCGTGTGATCGTTGGCGTGTCTTTCAAACATTGTAGGATCTTTAGCTTACAATATTGAGTGCCTTGAGATAGCCTTTGTGAATTGGTGCTCTATAAATAAAATTGAATTGTAATGCCAGAGTACAGTAAAGTATAGCAAGATGCACAAGGCTGTCAGCATATGTAAAAACATAAAAGACAGGCAGAAATAATTTAGGTGTATTAAACAGAGGAAAGTGGAGGTTTGCAGAAAATTGGTCAAAGGTTATGAAATGAAGCGGAAAACTGGCAGCTTATTTTATATTTCAAGAAAGTCAAATCCTCTCATTTCCCACCAGTTTCAGCATAATTTATAAATGTAAGATCTCTTATGGTTAAAATCAGACCCTCTTATGGTCTTGTGAACTTTTTATGGATCTGCACAGCCTGGATGGCTGCTTCAAGGACTTTTCCATCAACATCACATGGTTTTAAGGCTTGAAAAATTGCGATGCAGCCATATATTTATATTGAAAATAGTCGAACAAGAAGAAAACAAGTCTTAACGTGAACATATTGAATATGTTGCACTGTAGGTAAGTAATGACAAGGTCAAACAAATACACCATAGATCACATAGATTACTTTTTTACCACAGAAAGTAAATTTCTATTTTTCAAAGCTTAACAGTTGTTTTTTACTTTGTGACTTTATGAACAAAAACTAAATGTTTTTTCACTAGACCCTGTAGGACCATGCAGCCATCAAAGTAGCCCATGTATTGATTTAACAGAAACAACTGGCTTTAGCATGGAAGACTACCATCCAGTTTATTGGTTTTCTTACCAGCATGACTGTAATTCTTCTTTTACTCCTGGATTTTTCTGCCTGAATGAACCTGTTGCTGGAGAGGATAATGGTCAAATGAGCCAGCTACCATTATATGGAACGGCTTTATGTCAAATAGTGTCATTTTGTCGATTAGAAATTTTGTCTCGAGAAATCTTTAGTCTGCCTCTGACGCCAAGCTGGAAAAACTGAAGGAAGAAAGGGAATCATTTGCTTTTAAGATTCAAGAGATAGCTTCGGCCCTTAACTACAAAGCGGGATGTGGTTTGAGAGGAAAACTTTCTAACTTTTTTTCCTGGTGACTGCAAAACAATTTAATTTATCTATAGCCTTTTGTGTCGCGGCAAAAATCTTCAAAAGAAACTGATTAAAGCAGTAAATCCTTTCAATTGTTGACTTTGTTCTTTACTTGCTCACAAATCATTTACTAGTAAGAATACAAGTAATTTACTTTATTAATGTATTAATCATTTGTTCCTTTTAGCCTGTATTGTGTTTTTAATTTCTTCATTCTTAAGAAAACAGGTTGTAATAGAAGACAAACAGGCAGCTCTAGAATGATCTATATCACCGCTCCTTTTATATGGATTCTTACATGTAGAATTGGGGGATTCTGGGTTGACTTACTGAGCTGATAACCACTGGCATAGCCACTTAACATGACTGCTGATGGGAGGCTTTGTGAAACCAGATAACAAGAAGATATCTTGAGTATGCCTAACTCATTTCCCAGTAAAAACCCTGATCAGTGGTAGTACAGGTCTAACATTTGGGTTGTGCCATTAGAAAACAACTGTTTTCATAATTAGGATAAATAAAAGCTACATAAATATAATCGATTTATAAAGACATTTTTAAAACAAAGGGGCACCTTCCGTCTAGTGATGCAGAAGGCACATACGGCTCAACAGAAGCACCACCTGCAGCTGTAAAAGTGATTTCATAATACTAGTGTGCGATGATGGCAATGTGATGGAGGTAAAATGTTGCCTAACACACCATGAAAGCCCCCAAAAGGCCAGTGCACTGCTCTAATGCAAGAATACTGACAGATTTGAGAGGTTATCTACCTCCAAAATTCAGGTGGTTACAGAGCAGTGACTATCTGACCAGTTCTGATTCTTATAGGTATAACAAAACCTCAAGCCTTTTAAAAAAAGTTGGCAATTTAAGAAAAAAAACATATTTTGAACTAATGCCGCTCAGATTGCATGCACATATTCTAAAGGAGGTATATGAGCACTCTTCGACAAACAGGAATTGCATATTGAGCTGATTCTTTTTCTTCTCATACACTTAATGGACTCAGTGTTCCTTTGGAGGATTATGTGTTAACACCCAATGCAAGCAGACCCACCAGTTGCACATTATTTGTAAATGGCCTCACTGCAAACACCTTGCTTGTTATCTGTACACGGGAGAAGTTGTCTGCCCTGCTAAGCTGAACTTTTGACATCACTTGTCATCAGCCAGTTTTCTGCCTGCTGCTGTTCGCCCTGTGCTGCATTAGTGCTACACTTAACAAGCAAACGTCTCAAATCCGCCCGATAGCACAGCAGTCTCTGCTATGATCTGAATGTAAAGTCACTGCTCCGTTGAGTCACTGTGACCCCCAGTGATCACTTCTCAATGCCACCCTGCTGTATAAAGCTATGTAAAGCTGCTTGAAATGTTAAAATGAATGTACAAATAGCTTCACTATACCTTCTGTAAGCGTGTGTTGGTGGTGTCTACCTCCAAACTGAGAAGCTTGACAGATTTTTACCGGAAATGCAGCCATCTGCTGAAACTGCTCTTTCATACAGAATGTTGCTGGGCGGTAGATACTAAAAGAAATGAGTTATTTGCTGTTACGTATCAGTATTTATTGCAAAAACAGAGAATTTGTTTATATTGTTGACGTTTTCAGGCTGATGCATTTTGGTTTGTGGATGGAAAGTAATATAAGAGTTGTTTTAAGAGAAAACAACAGCGCTAGAAGGATGTTTTTCTTCGTTCAGTCTTGTAATTGCCTTACTGTTATTTCCTTTAATGTTTATTGCAAATACTTTGAAAATGTAAGATCAAAAAAGTATAACACAATGAAAAGTGCTTTGAATATTGATGTAAAACTGTACATTGTTTTGTCTCCATTGTAAGTTTAATTAGTAAAGAAAACAAATATTTTGCTAAGTGTACATCCACTTCCAGCGTAGCATTTGTGCAGTTTTGCAGAATGATTGATTGTTGCTGATTATTGTGAAGTGCTCTGTTTTCGTTCCCACAAAAAGCAGCAGCAACAACACTGAACATTATATGTTCCTGGATCAAGGTTTAGCTTGTGTTTTGATTGCTAGTTGCATGCTAAGTTCTGTGTATATGTGCAGTGACACAATGCAAACAGCTGTGGGATCATGTTTCATGTTCGGCGACGGCACGAAGAAATGTAAACGTGAGCTTCAGTTCAAATAAGTGATGTTTTGCTGGCTTAAGATGACTTATTTTTATTGTGTCTGAATAAAAGCAGATAGTGAAATGAGAGCGTTGTCTATTTATTTTTCACATTTGTAAATGTCGACATCGTGTCACTCAGGTTTGAGGAAAAAATGCATGTTCATTGGTAACAGGCTCTCTAAAATGGATGCGTCGGGATGTTAGCACAGGAGGTTCATTTCAAACATGAATGCGTTGACACTTGGTGTGAAAGTAGGTAACATCCAAGTGTTGGGAGAAAGGAGGAGACAGTGGAGTCAAGCAAAACAGAGAGATCGACGGACAGTAGTCAGTGCCACAGTGCCTATTCAAATACACAGGATGTTAGAATGTCTCTAAAGAAAGGAGAAACAGCTGCTTAGCGGCAACAAAGTTCACAGTTCACTCTAAAATTTGAATATTCAACTGAGTGAAGGACACTTTGATGAAAAGCTAACATTTGTCTGGATAAACAGACTAAAATAAAATAAGCAATCAGGTGTCTCTACCAGCAGAGCTTCCAGTCAGAACAAAGCAGCATCTTCCTCAAGGTGTGCCTGAGCTCGGCGATGCGGAAGGCGTATATGGCCGGATCGAAGAGGGCGTGGCTCGTCAGCAGCGCCACGTGCAGCTGGAACAGCGATCGGTAACACTCGCAGTAGGGGTTCGTGGGGCACACCATGATGATGACGAGGTGGAAAAAAAATGGCGACCAGCAAACCACCAGCGTCCCAAACAGGATGGTGACGGTCTGGGCCCCTCTCATGTTGCTCCCCCACCGCTGCTGGTGATGACTGTTCCTGCCACCAACCGGTAACGCTGCAATCTTTCTGGCATGGATGCGCGCCAGCATGAACATGTAGACATACAGGGAGCAGATAATCACCAAGGAGATGAAAAACAATACGACGAAGCAGATCATGATGAGCTTGAAGTCAAAGAACAATATCATCAGCACGCCCAAGCCCCCGCATACACTCCAGATGATGCCCAAGATGGCCCCAGTGCGCTGCATTGTCATGATGTTGTGGTATCGGAGTGCATGGAAGATGGTGATGTAACTGGAAGAGAAACAAATCATTTCATTATCTCATAGCTTATCACAGGCTGTCAAGGATTGAGTGACCACGTTTAACTTCACTGCAGCTTCCTCACTCAGCTCGGTCGCCTAAATTTAAGACATTAACTGAGCTTTAACATGATACTGCGGTGCATTACCATTAGCAGGGAGCTTTGTGCCACAAAATAATCCTAAATGCATTTAATCCACACTGGATGACATGTTTTGTAAAGAGTCAAACATTTTTTTGTTTTCTCAGGAGATGGTGAAACCCAAAACAGAGTTAAGAGTTACATGCATATCAGCCGCATGAGCATTAATTGGGTGACCAATTGTGTGAAAAATCTGGGACATGGTCATGAACATTATCATTAGCTTGTTGTTCAGTCCAGAAGTGGACAAAATTATTTTATTTTGCTCATTATACTCTCCTAATGCCACTGCTAGTTAAGCTTTTTGTGGCTGGCTGCCTCTTATAAATAACATGTTTTAATGGGGGGGCAAGTGACGCTTCTATTCTCACAACCAGAGGTGAAATCCTGAGATGAATATATGAAGGATATCAGCTCTCTTTTAGAGAGCTTTTCTTTTGGCTCACAGGATTACTTGGAAAACTACTGAAGACGGCTGTGTTCCATATGAGCATTTAGTATTTCAACCGTAGATATAACTGAAAAATAAGTGAAAGTAAGCAGAGTTCCCTTTTTAAAAAAAAAAGAACTATAAATAAATGTGCATATGTTGCATTGGTAAATGGACTGGTTCTTATATAGCGCTTTTCTACTCATCTGAGCACTCAAAGCGCTTTACACAACTTGTGCATTCACCCATTCAGACCCATTCGCACAAGCACATCTTTCTAAGTGCTTTATAGCTAACATTTACACACATTCATACTCCGATGGATGCATCGGAGAGCAATTTGGGGTTAGTATCTTGCCCAAGGATATTTGGCATGCAGACTAGGGGAAGCCAGGAATCGAACCACCAACCTTCCAGGAATCGAACCACCAACCTTCCAATCAGTAGAACCTGCTCTACCACCTGAGCTACAGCCACCCCATATTCTCTTTTTCTTTGACTGATTTTAAAATTTGGATAGCTGCCTAAAACGTGGAGAAACAGTATCATTGCAGTAATAAAGTATTCATGATTTTTGGGTAGACATGATGGAAGCCACTGCAGTAAGCCTTTAACTGTACATCAAAGAGTCCGAGCCCAGTGGAAAGCTTTTTAAATTCTCCTTATATAAATATCAGCAGAGGATAAATCATTACGGGGCCACAGATCCATAGAGAAACAATTTAGAACATCTGGATTAGCAGCAAGAATAAATCATTCGTTGTATGGCAAATATAACATGGTTGTGGGTTCCTGTAAGTAGCAGCCAGTTCTTTCTTTAAAAGGGTTTTCAAATAGCCTTAAGCATTGTTATGCCTTAGAAAATGAGATTTTGGGGGATGAGTAGCCTAGAGTGGAATATGTTCATCTCGCCATGAAAACCATTCTTCACACTATAAAATAAACCATTTTAAGATAAGATATTTATGTTTCCATATCCAAGAGCTCCATACATACCGGTCCACGGCAATGGCCAGGATACTGAAAAAGGACCCCAAAAAAGACATGCACAGCAGGGAGTCGATTGCATCGTCCAGCGTGGTCTCAGAAGAGCCTTTCTTATTCAAGTGTCCCACATCAGCAAACACAATCATGAGGTTTTCCAAGGTTTTGGTCAGGCTGGCGATGACGTGGAAGGCTGCCAGGCTGCAGATGAAGCAGTACATTGGCGAGTGGAGGTTTCTGTTCCGTATGACAGCTACCACAACAAGGAAGTTCTCAGCAAAGCTCACCGCTCCGATGGTGAAGAAGACAGGGTTGGGAACCACCACCTCAGGACAGTGCGATTGGTTCAATATAGAGCTGTTCATTGTTGGTCAAGTGGTCGTCCAGGATTAAATGCTGATTAAAGGCAGATGTTTACTTTGGGGCTATTTTGCATTGAAAGTTGATTAAGTTTAATAATATTGTTTCAAGAATTGGTTTAAATATGAATATTTGCAGTACATTTTAAACTGCCTTCATTCTTACATTTACAAAAACATTTTATCTGCTGACCTGTTTTTAACATAGAGATCAGGTTTAAACTGATACCTGTGACTTAATGAGTCCTATAAAGGTCTCAAAATTTAGATTTACACACTTTGCAATATCCTTCAACTTTCTTGTCATCAATAATTTCATGAATTCATGACAAAAATATTTTCTGAAAACCTAAAAAAAAGTCAACAAAAAGCAACAATTGTTTTTTATAGATACAAATTTGAATTTAAAACACAAATTAATGGTATGAGACGTACTGACTAAATTTATGGACAGCTGCCAAACAAAACAATGGAGCTAAACTACAAAAATACAGGCAGCAGGTTTACATATATAAAAAATAAAATAATAATGTCACATGCTACATAATGACATAATATTAATATTGCTTTTAACTGGCTTTCTTTTGTGTTGCTATTAAAAAGAATGAACATTAGTTTATGGTTAATTAGATCAGGACTGTCACAACCTTTGACCTATAACCTATTTATCCAAGAGGTGAAAGACTTTGTA